CAAATGTGTGTCGTCATCCCCAGTTTTACTGTGATTAATTGTTTTATTTACACTCCAAAACGCGATGTTCGGACTTCAGAGGAAGCAGCTGCTCACCAACTCACGGTTTCGTTTTTGAAAAGGACACGGATAACGCGCGACCGGTCGCGCTGTAGGCCGAGCGCGCGACCTGCCACACGCGCGATGGCACAGGCTGCGTTCCGACCAGCCACGCTACCGCCTGCCACTTTTCCGCTTCCAGCCCGCAGTCCAAGGCCTAACATGCAAATCTCGTTTACTATGTGATATCATGATGACGCAAACAAAAAAAAGTAGATTTTTTTTTTAAATTGCCATAACTTTTCAATGGGGTAACAGATTTCAATTCCGTCTACACCGTTGTGTTCTACATGATGAGGCGAACAAAACTGGACCTCACTCATATGTTTCAAAGAACTTAATTTTAGTAACAATTTATGTGTAAATATATACTAGGAAATTTATTAAAGAAGTTACTACCATGTAATACTAAAGATGCTAATGAAAATATACTAAAGTTGTCCCATAGTATGCACATTGATTGTTACCAAGGGAATATAATAAAAATGTTATATAATACTTACATAAGAGAATAGCGGCTCAAAACAAGACAAGCTCCAACTTAGAGGGGCAAATTATTAAAATAAGCATCGCATAAGCTGCCAACTAGACGGCAAGTTATTATACAACACATTACAAAAGCAAGAAAACATGACTTGCCGCCAACTAGGGGATTTATTAAAAAACGAGGGTAGCGGGTAGCGGCACAAAACAAGATAAGCTACAACATGGTGGCAAATTATTAGAACAAGCATTGCATGAGTTGTCAACTCGAGGGGCAAGTTATTATATAACCCACTATATGAGTCGGGAAACATGACTAGTTGACAATTGAAGGGACATTTGTTGAAAATACAATCAAAAAATTAAAATGAAACTGACAAAAAGGAACTGAAAACTAAAGTAGATACAATGAAAAAAAGAACTAAAACATAAAACTGAAAACTAAAGTAGGCATAGGCATGAAAAGGAAACTAAACCACTAAAATAGCTACTGTAAACTAAAACTGAAATTGACAACCAGAAAATTGAAATAAAATTGATAAATAGAAACTGGAAACTAAAGTAGACACAATGAAAAAAAAGAACTAAAACATAAAACTAAAAACTAAAGTAGGCATTCGAAACCTAAAAGAAAAACTAAAACAATGAAATAGCTACCATAAACTAAAAATGAAATTGACAACAAGAAAATTGAACTGAAATTGACAAATAGAAACTAAAAAATAAAGTAGACACAGTGAAAAACAAAGTACCGAAACATAAAAATGAAAAATAAAGGAGGCATTCGAACCTGAAGAGAAAACTAAACCACTAAAATAGCTACCAGAAACTAAAATTGAATTTGACAACTAGAAAAATTGAACTGAAATTGATAAATAGAAATTGAAAACTAAAGTAGACACAATGAAAAAAAGTTGAAACATATTACTGAAACTGAAATTACCGGATACTAAACCTGAAATTGACAACCAGAAAATTTAAGTGAAATTGACAAAACTGAAAACTAAAATAGACATAATGAAAAACAAACAAGAGAAATTAAAACTACTAGAAACCGAAACTGAAAAAACTAAAGTAGACAACCAATCATAGCCACCAATAAAATCCACTGGATGCCAACTTGGAAAATATGGACAAAAAATTGTTTATATTTTCACAATCTACCTAAATTGTTATATATTAATATATAAGTAGGACCATACATACAACATAAGTTGCCACTATATATAAATATAATGTAAAATATATGCATCATAGATCTAGTCTTGTAGATTTACTGTATAAGCAGATCGGTGTACTCAACTGAAAACGAACACCTCAGTAGAAAACTATGGTATTTTTAAAATTCTGTAGAAATATTAAATTTCACAAACGCTGCGGATCCACGTACACCACCAGCTCATAGAAGCTTTTTCTTTCATTTTTTTTATTTGGGCTGCCGCTACCGCCTGCGCAAGTGCATGCGAATCGGCAGGCTAGGCCACCAGGACTTTCACGACGCTTTTCCTTTCATTTTTTTTATTTGGGCTGCCGCTACGGCGTGCGCGAATCGCCAGGCTAGGCCACCAGGCCTCGCCCGATGCTTAGCGCGACCGGCCGCGCGTTAAACTTTGCGTTTTAAAAAAAGAACTCAGCTCCGGCCCCTTTGCAGGCCCATGTCGGAACTAGTCCGGTGCAACCTTTGACGTGGCCCAAGGGCCAAGGCCGTTCGGCCCGGTTACCGCGAAGTATGTTTGTACCTGGTGGGTCGAAAAGTCGTCGATGCTTTGATTCGTCCGTCCCGGCCTCTTCCAACCCACACATCAATCTTTAACAAGTAGTCTATCAGTTCATTCAGTTGTAACAGGGCGATTCAGATCTGAAGGCTATGGCCCTATGGGACATGGACACAATCGTGTGCAGTGTACTCCATCGAAACTTTTCTACCGGAAACTTTGGGCTCGCCGTGGGAGTGTGCAGAAGGATGACTCACTATATAGTACAGTATTTTCCATTGATCGTACTAAACCAAGGTTAAGAATCCTAGTTTTGCTCCAACAAAAAGCCCAAGTAGCTTTGCCATCGCATTCAAAATCAGGTAGCCCATGTGCACACAGCCGTTGAGCTTTACCAGCTTCTCACATTACTTATCCACAATCTTTCCCTCTCTGATATACCACATTGCATCCACGTTCACAGCACATTCATATTTGACGTAGGAAAAGGACGATAAAATCACAAGACCCTTGCGTACACACGGGCGTCATTGGTAGTGGAGTTCAAATTAGGTATTACTTCCCTCCCAAAATGCCAAATTTTTTAAGATTTCCTGTCACATCGAATCTTTAGACGCATGCATGAAGCATTAAATATAAATAAAAAACAAAACTAATTACACAGTTTAGACAAAATTCACGAGACGAATCTTTTAAGCCTAATTAGACTATGATTAGACACTAATTACCAAATAACAACGAAAGTGCTACAATGCCATTTAACCAAAAATTTTGCAAACTAAACAAGCCCTTATATAAAAGCAGACAGAGCACCAAGTTTCTACAAATACCTAACCAAAGGGTAACCAGACATGAGTTCAGGTGCAGGATAACTGGTTCAACTACCCAGATTACATGCCACAGTTCAACAAGTCTGTGGCATCACATCATCTAAAAACTAATCAAACTACTAGCTTGATACATATTATCAGTACAAGACTGAAGGATAACAAGCAACTAGTCGATGCAGTGTCTAGCACGACATCCAACTGGCCCGTGCACAGAAGCTAGTGTGACATCCATTTGGCAGCGGACGCAAGTAGTAGCATGACACAAAAGCAGCCAAAGCATGCAGATTAACCCCTGTGAGAAAATGTCGTTGTTCGATGCAATATGAAAAGTCGTTAGGCTTACCCAGAAGCCGGCTTGTTCGGCTTCTTTTTTCAGTTAGAATAGTGTTTTTCTCTCACAACAATTCAGCCAGAACAGTATTTTTCAGCCAGTTTCAGCCAAAATTCAGCAAGCCGAACATGGCATAATACACATCCAATGATTAAAGCTATAATGTGCGACACTATCCTGTTCGCTTGAACTTATCAGCTGGCTTATCAGCTAGAATCTACAGTATTTTTCTCTCACAACAAAACAGTTTCAGTCGGCTTATCAGTCGGCTTTAATACCAGCCGAACAGGCCCATAACGACATCTTAAGATTGCAGAGCACAACACTGTTGATCAAGGCTGCAAACCAACCAGTATTATGCACTGTAGATTACTACTCGTACTTCCCAGCACCAGAGCAATAACTAATTAACCACAAGAACGTCCGTTAAACAAGAACTACCTATAACTCTTGTTTAAGTGCCAAGCAGTAGATCCGTGAACTTCACTGTGAAGCAACTAGTAGTGGATAGGAAGAAAAAAAAAACAGTAGTGTTAACCTGCCGGTAGGCGATAATGCTTAGCTCCTTGGTGAGCTTCAGCGCTAATCATAGTCATTTGGTTTGTTGTTTGCTTCACAAATTGTGCCCTGGGTACTTACTTGTGATAGCATCTTTTGAGTGTGACAGGTGGTCAGATCTGACTCTTTAAAACTCTTTGTAGTGCCATTGCTAAATGGTAATGAAATTCAGGTTTCTCTTCTGTGGCGGGAAAAAAAAGGAAGAAAAAACTGCCTTTGGGTAGAAGTTCACAAGTTCAGTATAAAATCAGCACTTAAGCAGCATGACAGACTTGCGAATGCGGTACAGAGGCAAGCAAAGAAGCTCATCACTACTTAAACCACTACTCCCAAACAGGAAATAGAAAACCTTGCTTTTCTACTACACAAAGATCATCCGCAAAAAATAAAAAACCAGAATTATACCTACTTATTATGCAGCCGGTTGGAGAGCGAATCACTTACGGTAACCTATATGTGGAAACATGCCCCGACACTAAAACTTATATATAGTACTCTCTATACTCCAAATTGTAAGACGGTTTGGCTTTTCTAAATACATAGATTTTGCTATGCACTTAGATATATACTATGTCTAGATATACAGTAAAAACAATGTATCTAGAAAAGGTAAAATGTCTTACAATTTGGAGGGAGCAACAAACCACAGAACACTAGAGCACAATGTTGTTGAACATTTCAAAGAAAAAAGGTACACAGTTTAAGAACGAGGGGGATTCACGGGCTTTCCAACACCACCAAGCAAAAACACATAAAGAAACTATCTAAACAAGAATTACGTGTCAGACCACCAACAATCAAGCAAAAGAAAGGATATATAAAAAGTCAACCATAAAGGACACAATGTTCACATAACTACAATAAGATATCTAATAAATAGGAAATCAAAGACACGTTACAAATCTCAAATGCCTTCACATTAAGGGCCCCGATGCCTCTAAATAGCAGTGCATAAGCAAATAAAATGTGAGCAAGCTTACCGCTTCATATAGTAGGTAATGATAGTGATGGTGGGTAACCAATATATTGGGCTACCATAGGACAGCGGCCATTGTGAATAATCCCTCGAACCCTCTGAATCTGCCTAGTCTTGAAGTCCAGCGAAATACAACCAAACACTTCTTCAGAATTATGTTCACGTGCTCCTTGCAATAGTAATTTCCCATCAGCAACACCTAGCATGCTGAAGCTACTCGAGCGAGACAGTAAAACTGTATTCTCCAGCACCCACTCAGTGGCACCTTCACCATTAATTTGATTGCTTGCACTAAATAGTCGGACTATACAGCAGTCTTCATGGCGGGGATTACCTCCATTACCAATCATGAACATCCCACGTCTGCTTTCCCCTAACTCCACAATAGCAAATTGCTCAAGCTTGTGGTTGGATGGATGATTGACAGGATAGAACTCCATCCTGCCCATGTCTAGCACAATCAGCTTGCTGCGGAAGGGGAATCCTGACAAATACCAGTAGAAACATCCATATGCGTAGCTGCGCCACGACAAGGGGGAGCGCTCAACGACAGGAGACATGGCAGGGTTCAGATCATACCAAGCCCGCTAGCCGAGGAGAATATGAATGCGACTAACTTAGTTGGGCACTGGGCCATCAAAATCACACTGAACGCTCCCGGCGCTCTCTCTGCCTCCTCCTCGCTGCAGGGGGCAAGGAAAACATCGCACCTACGCTCACCATTCACTTGGAGCGGCTGCTCGACTGCCGCGGTCAAGTCTTCCTGGAGTGGCGGAAGAAGTTCGTAGCGGCGGAACAAGGGGTCGCAGACCGCTATGGTGGTGAATGTAGGATACGTACCCTCGTAGCAGTCGAGGGCGAAGCGGCCGCCGCGGGCGTCCCGGACCTTCCAGAAACCCCTGGTGGGGAGGAACGAGAACTCGAAGTCAGCGGCTTCGGCGACGGCGCGGGCGGCGGGCGCGGAGGGGTGTGGCGACTCCCCGGGGTGGAACAATGCGGAGAAGGAGTGGAAGCCGAGCAAGGACGGCGGCTGGAGCGCGTGCAGGCGGCGGAGGAAGGAGTGGCTGGTGATGACGCGGTGGAACCCTAGGACGCGCAGGCGCGGCCCAAGTCCTCGAGGGTGGGGAGCCGGATGAAGATCTCTGCGAGGATGTCGTCGCTGAAGGGCATCACCTCACCCGCCGCCGCCAGCGATGCCATCGGGAGCCGGGACCTACGCCAGTGAGGCTTTAGGGAAATGGGGTTAGGGTTTTGGCGAGAGGGGGAGGCAACTAGGGGGATTGGAGGGAATGGGGATTTGGTGGGGGGTTTGGCGAGAGCCGAGAGAGAGTGAGACAGTGAGTTCGATCTGTGTAATTGAGATTAAGAACTGTAACGGTGATTACATATTTATACCCATGAGTCCATAACCATGAAGAGATGCTTTACATGTCCGTTCGTATGAGAAACTGGCCACTTCGAGCTATCTCTGAAAGCCGAAGGATCATGACGATTGATGCTCATCACATATGTTTAGCAACCAGAAATGTTTCAGATTAGAATCACTAGAATTGCCGGCAAATGTCACAAAGAGAGAGACATTTTAGAAATCATTTGGACCGATTTTCATTTTTTATAGTCTAGATAAACATCCGAAACCTGATTCCTCTTTTATCATTGTTCTACTCTCTCCATCCTAATTTATAAGTTGTTTTGGTTTCTCAATTCTAAATTATATGACGTTTTGGATTGTATAGATATATAGTTTTTTTTATACACTTATAGGTATATACATAGAACTGATGGCTATGGGACATGGACACGATCGTGTGCAGTGTGCTCCAGCAAAACTTTTCTACCGGACACTCTGGGCTCGCCGTGGGAGTGTGCAATAAGGATGAGTCAATGTACAGTATTTTCCATTATCAGTCTGTTCGTTTTGGCTGAATTGGTTTATAAGCCATGGCTGAAAGTATGGCTGGCTGGTTTGGTGTGAGGAAAAAACACTGTATAGACAGTGGATTATAAGCTAGATACGAGCGAATAAGCTGAAACGAACAGGCTGTATATTGAAAAACATGAAAACAAGATTAAGAATCCTAGTTTTGCTGCAACAAAAAGCCCGAGTAGCTTTCCCAAGTTGAGCCTGAGCTGCTTATCCGCATATTCACAAATCACAATCTTCCTCGCATTCAAAATCAGGTAGCCCCATGTGCACAACATCCGTTGAGCTTTACCAGCTTCTCACATTTACTTACCACATTCTTTCCCTCTCTGGTATACCACATTTGCATCCACAATCACAACACATTCATCGCCCTGTTCGTTTGGGCTTGTTTGGCTTATAAGGCATAACTGAAAGTTCTGTTGGCTGATTTGGTATGAAAGAAAAATACTGTTCGTTGACTGATAAGCCATGGCTTATAAGCCGAATACGACCGAGCGAACAGGCTGCATATTTGACGTAGGAAAAGGACGATAGCATCACAGGACCCTTTGCGTACACAGGCGTCATCGCTAGTGGAGTTCAAATTATATGAAAGCACCAAGTTTATGCAAATACTTAACCAAATTAAAGGGTAACCAGACATCAGTTCAGGTGCGGATAACTTGTTTAACTACCCAGATTACATGCCATAGTTATTGAAGGATATTATCAGTACAAGACTGAAGGATAACCAGCTGCTAGTCGATGCAGTGTCTAGCACGACATCCATTCTGCCTGTGCACTGAACTCAGTGTGGCATCCATCTGGCAGCGCACACAAGTAGTAGCATGACACAAAAGGAGCCGAAACATGCCGATTAACCCCTGCAGAAGTTGAAGAGAATATGAGAAAAGGTGGTTGTTTGATGAAATATGAACTTTCGTTGACTTACTAGATCAGTATTCGGTATGGTTTAAGTAGGGAATAGAATACACATCCAATGAGTAAAGGGACCGTCGCTTGAACTTATCAGCCGGTTTATCAGCTAGAATCTACAGTATTTTTCTCTCACAACAAATCAGTTTTAGCCGGCTTATCAGCCGGTTTTAATATCAGCGACACTATGCAAACTGTTTCTTAACCATAGCCCTTTCGGCATCTAACGGCATCTTAAGATTGCAGGGCACAGCACTGTTGATCAAGGCTGCAAACCAACCAGTATTGTGCACTCTTAGGTTACTAGTACTTCCCAGCACCAGAGCAATAACTAATTAACGACAAGAACGCCCGTTAAACAAGAACTACCTATAACTCTAGTTTAAGTGCCAAGCAGTAGATCCACGAACTTCACACTGTTAAACAACCAATAGTAGAATAGGAAGAAAAAAAACGCACTATTAACCTGCCGATAGTGCTTAGCTCCTTGGTGAGCTTCAGCTCTAATCATAGTCATTTGGTTTGTTGTTTGCTTCACAAATTGAGCCATGGATGCTTAGTTGTGATAGCATCGTTTGTGTGTGACAGGTGGTTGGATCTGACTCTTTAAAACTCTTTGTAATGCCATTGCTAAATGGTAATGAAATTCAGGTTTCTCTTCAGTGGTGGAAAGAAAAGGGGAAAAAAACTGTCTTTGGGTAGAAGTTCACAAGTTCAGTATAAAATCAGCACTTAAACAGCATGACGGACTTGTGAATGCGATAAATGCAAGATAGAAGCTCATCACTACTTAAACCATTGCTCCCAATGGAAAATAGAAAACCTTGTTGTTCTACTACACAAAATCCGTACATTTTTTTTAAAAAAAAAAATCAGAACTGTACCTACTTATGCAGTCGGTTGGAGAGTGAATCACTTACAGTGGAAACATGCGCCAACGCTAAAACTTATGAGAGAATTCCTTACTTGACATATGAGAAATGACCTGTTCCTTTCTTGGTCCTCAAAAAATTTTCGTTCCCTATTTGACACCGATTTCAACTTTCATTCCTTATATGACACTCCGTTGGATTTTCCGTCCGTGGATCGTTAACTGCTATGCGAAAAGACGATTTTACCCCCTGTGGGCCCCACCACCCTTCTCTCTCCTCTCCTCCCTTCTCCTCCTTTTTTGGCATGCCGTTGCCGGGCTTCGCCCATGAGGCCGCCCACCTCCAACCCGACGGGCTGGTCACGCTGGCCTCGCCCACCTCCAACCCCGACGGCCGGCCCCTTCGCTGCGACGCCGCCTCCTCCTCCCGCAACCTGTCCCTCGCCTCCGACCCCGCTCTCCTCCTCGTCTCCATCCGCCTCCCCACCGCCACGCTTCGCTGGTCGCCTCCCTTGGGACCTCGGCGCCTTCTCCGCGCTCGACTCCGTCTACCTCGCCGCTTAACGCCCTCTCGGGCCCCGCCCCACTCGAGCTCGGCAACGTGCGTCGCTCTCAGCGCTTCGACCTCGCGGGAACCGCCTCGACGGGACCTGCCCACCTCCATATGGAACCTCTCACGACCGCGTCACCGAGCTCCGCCTCCCACGGTAACGCCCTCACGGGGCCGTCCGGCGCCGGCCGGGCCTAACACCACTGCGATCGCCTCCGCGTCCTTGACCTCGGCGCCAACCGCTTCTCCGGCGGCTTTCCTGTGTTCTCACCGCATTTGAGGCCTCGGTCAGGCGGCCTGCCCGCCGCTTGCGCTAGTGCGTGCCTGACCTCGGGCCTCAGCTCCAGCGGCGTCGCCGGGATGGTCATCGGCCTCATGAGCGAGGCCGGTGACAATGTGGTACAAGCGAGAGGAGGAGAAGGGAGGAGAGAGAGAGAGAAGGTGGTGGGGCCCACAGAGGTAAAATCGTCTTTTCGCATGGCAGTTAACGGTCCACGGACGGAAAATCCAACGGAGTGTCATATAAGGAATGAAAGTTGAACTCGATGTCAAATAGGGAACCAAAATTTTTTGAGGGCCAAGAAAGAAACGGGTCATTTCTCTGGTGTCAAATAAGGAATTCTCTCAAAACTTATATACTCCCTCAGCTTGTTTTTACACGTCACATTAACTTTGTTCTAAACCAAACATTACTATCTTTGACCATCTATTTCAAAAAAATCCTTAATAATTTCACAACATATAAATTATTATATATTATGGAAGTATTTCTCATGGTGAATCTAAAAATATAAATTTTATGTCATGAACCTATATAATTTTTTTGAAATCGATAGTCCAAGATACAATTATTTGACTTAGGACAAAACTAATACGACATCTAAAAACAGAGGGAGCAGTACTCTCTTTGTTTCAAATTGTAAGATGTTTTGTCAAAGCATTGTGTCTAGAAAAGACAAAACATCTGACAATTTGGAATGGAGGGAGTAACAAACCACATAACGCTAGAGCACAATGCTGTTGAACAACATTTTATAGAAAAAAGGTACACAGTTCAAGAGAGGGGGGGATTCACAGGCTTTCCAACACCATTATCCACCAAGCAAAATACAAGTAAAGAAACTATCTAAACAAGAATTACCTGTCAAACCACCTAACAATCAAGCAAAAGAAAGGATATATAAAAAGTCAATCATAAAGGACACAATGTTGACGTAACTACAATAAGATATATCTAATAAATGGGAAAGCAAGACACGTTACAAATCTAAAATGCCTTCACATTAAGGGCCCCAATGCCTCTAAACAGCAGTGCATCCAAGGAAATAAAATGTGAGCAAGTCTACCATTTCATATATAGTAGGTAGTGATAGTACTCAGACTGTTCGTTTCGTCGTAAACGATCGTGGATTATTTACTGCTGGTTGGTTTAGTGTGAGAGAAAAATATTGTTCTAGCTTATAATCCACGATCGTATACGAGCAAACGAATAGACTAAGTGATGGTAGGTAACCAATATATTGGACTACCATAGGACAGAAGCCACTGTGAATAATCCCTCAAACCCTCTGAACCTGCCTAGTCTTGAAGTCCAGCGAAATACAAACAGACCCTTCCTCAGAATTATGTTCACGTGCTCCTTGCAATAGTAATTACCCATCAGCAACACCTAGCATGTTGAAGCTACACGAGCGATACAGTGGGACTGTATTCTCCAGCACCCACTCACTGGCACCTTTACCATGAATTTGGTTGCTTGCACTAAATAGTCGGACTATACGGTATTCATCGCAGGTATTATCACCAAGCATGAACATCCCCAGTCTGCTTTCCCCTAACTCCACAACAGCAAATTCCGCCTGTGGCTGGATGGATGAGTGACAGGATAGAACTCCATCCTACCCACGTCTAGCACAATCAGCTGGCTGCGGAAGGGG